GATGGGGGAACTAGAGCCCGGTTTAATAGGATGGGGGAACTAGAGCCCGGTTTAATAGGATTTGACCAAGCAAAAGCACACTCATTGAGGGTTTAGCACCTTGGCTATGTTTCCCAACCACTTTCTATGCAAGGTGACTAACACAGGCCATCTCATCATTCCCAAATGATTTTTACAACAACAGCTGCAGATTTCTTAGTTCTACAAGAATGGGAATCACAACCAAATAATTATAGAATATCCGCGATGACCTTAGTATGAACAACAGAACCTGCCTTTGCATGAAGCTGCTTAGGGCAGTGGAATTGGATAGTCTACTTCATTATTAGTGGAGCTCCTGGTTAGTCCTTGTAGGGGGCATAGCAGACTAAAAAGACAAATACATAAAACCCAGCTACAGAAGACAAGTAATATCCATATATACCAAGCAGGGTAGAAACAGCTTCCACTCCACCATTGTAGACTTTTCTGTTGTCCTTTGTGGGATATATTTCATTCCATAAAATATGCACATAATAAAGCATCAGATAGTAGCCAGCAGAATTGAATATCCACCAAAGGGACCAAAGTCTCAGCTGTGGCTTTCGTACAATAATGCCCAACTCCTTTACCATCCGGAATAAGACCAGATTTTTCCAGGAAGAGACCTTATACCACATGGGCTCTCCTGCCCCAGGGTTCATTTTGTCCAGTTCTGAGGGCGAGGTACCATTACACCAGCTCTTGCTCCTGTTGAAGAAGAGGCTGCGTTTCGGACGCTTCAGGAAGAGGGTCAAGACCAGCCCAAAGCCCATGAAGCCCAATGAGATATAATTCACTGTCATGAAGGTAGTGCCTCCAACTGTGACACAGAGTTGTCCCACCACGGAACTGGTGAAGACGCCCATCAGCACGGAAGACCGGGAATAACTGGCCATGCGCTGATAGCGTGACGGAGTGACCAGGGTGAAGATGTAGGAGGAGTAGGCTATTCGCGTAGCCATTGTGATTCCATAGAAGAACTCCATGAACTGCATGGCAATGATGCTGGTACCAAAGATCAGCAGCAGCCAGATAGCAATGTGGCTCAAGCTCTGTAGCACCAACATTGGCTTGTACCGTAGATAGTCTGTGAGTAGAAAGATGGGCACTAATACTGCCATGTAAGAATACGACAGGACAGGTGTTATTTCATTGGTCACCTGCAAGAGAAAACCAAACAAAGTGCAACTGATTTAGGCTAGTGAGTAAAGCAGAGGGATAAAGAATTCTAGTATGAAAGAGGTCACATGCATTTTCACCTTATCTCACCTATATTCTAATCATCTATGGCAGGTCCCCCTCCTTCATGATTTACTAATAATTTGGGTGCTTCTTACTCACATTCTTTTTTTTAGCAACAGGCACCAAGACTTATTCTAGGTACTAGCCATCCTGTGTTTGGGAAGCTGGAAACAAAACAACTATACAAGAAGGATCAGCTGATTCAGGGACACCAGGGTTGGGTCTGGAGTATCCATAAGAGAAAGAAGCCTCCACCGCTATAAGAACTTGATGGAATTCTGGATGAATGGAAATACATTGATCATTGGGTGGGCAGGACTGAAAGGAGAAAACAAAGATTCACAACTAACCCAGAAAGCTATCAAACGCTAGATTATGTCCTGGTTCATCAGACAAACGATTTTTAATCAAAATTCCTAGGGATGAAATGGAGTTGTCCACAACGGGAAATGAAATGACAGCAGGTAGCTTATAAAAGAAGGTAAAGCACCTTCAAAAAGTAAGGACCATGGTGGCTGGAGGGGAAAGGGGGGGGGGGGAAAGCTCCACTCAAATGTTG